AGCAAACACAAACAGCAGCAGCAACTGCAGCAGCAGCAGCAGCAGCAGCAGCAGCAGCAACAGCAGCAGAAGCAGCAGGAGCTGCACCAGCTGCAGCAGTAGATGTAGCTGCTGCTGCTGCTGTTGCTGCTGCGGGTTTGCTGCTAAATTCCCTGCGGCTGTTGCTGCTGCTGGAGCAGGAGCTGCTTTAGTTGCTGCTGTTGCTGCTGCTGTTTTTGTTGCTGCTGCTTTTGCTGCTGCTGCTGCTGCTGTTTTTGGTGCTGCTGCTGCTGCTGCTGCTGTTCGGTTCTGCTGAGGCATCTGCTGGGTTTGCGTCGCTGCTGCTGCAGCTTTGTCTATGACAGCAGCTACTACTGCAGCAGCAACAGCAGCAGCAGCAGCAGCACCAGCAGCAGCAGCAGCAGCAGCAGCACGAGCAGGAGCAGCAGAAGCAGCAGCAACAGCAGCAGCAACAGCAGCAGCAGCAGCAGCAGCAGCAGGATCTGAGTGTGTGCTGCGCATGCAGACGCTGATGAGAACGCTGCGGGTGGGGGGGACCCCAGCACCTGCTGCTGCCTGCCCCGGCATCAGGGCGCTGCTGCAGCAGCAGCAACTGGCAAGCTGCTGCTGCTGCTGCTGCTGCTGTTTCTGCTGCTAGTGCTGTTTGTGCTGCTGCTGCTGATAGGGCTGCTGTTGTCGTTGTTGCTGCTGCTGCTGCTGCGGCTGCTAGTGCTGCTGCTGCGGCTGCTAGGGCTGCTGTTGCTGCTGCTCCTCCTTCTGCTTCTGTGCTGCTTGTGCTGCTGTTGCTGCTAGTGCTGCTTGTGCTGCTGCTGCTGCTGCTGCTGCGGCTGCTAGTGCTGCTGCTGCTGCTGCTGCTATTCCTTCTTCTGTTGCCCCCCCTAGCTGTTCAGAATGTTTATACAATAAAGAAGCGAGGGTTTAGGGTTTAGGGTTTAGGGTCTATGTGTGTTGCTTTGGTGCTGCAGCAGCAGCGTCACGTATATCATCAGGACCCGCAGCAGCAGCAGCAGCAGCAGCACGAGCAGCAGCAGCAGCAGCAGGAGGAGGAGGAGCAGCAGCAGCAGCAGCAGCAGGAGGGTTGTTTGGGTGTATCTTCTCCTGTTGGGGGCCGCCGCATCAGTGCTTTCCTGCTGCAGCAGCTGCTGCTGCTGCAGCAAGCGAAGCAGCAGCGGCTGCAGGCTGAGTTATATACAAGCGCAGCAAGAATACATCAGGCCCTCACAAAGGTTTTGCAGGCTCTACCAAAAGTACAAACCCTAGAAAATAAAAAAGAGTCTGTAAACCCTAAACCCTAAACCCTAAACCCTAAACCCTAAACCCTAATTTGTGAAATATTAGAGTCGTTACTTCTCCCGTTTGAGCGGTTACAAGAGCTGACAAAATTATTCTAGGGTTTAGGGTTTAGGGTTTAGGGTTTAGGGTTTGGGGTTTAGGGTTTGTGGTTTGTGTTTTGTGTGTGTGTGAAGGGCAGCAGTGGCTCGTGAGGATTTTGCTG